CAAGCAGAGGGTTCCTTAAAGAAAAAATGATATTTTCGTGCAAGTTATATCCCAAGCTTCCATTTTAAAATAAGAAATGTAATATTTGCGATGTACGCTAAAGTATAGTTCAGCCCTATACACTTCCTACGGCAATGTTCATCGCAGAACAAAACAATTGGCCCTAAAGTAGCATCAATATAATTTATATGGTGAAATAAATTAGAAAAACTGAGAATTTCAGGATCATTCATACCTCAATCGTATCCTAAGGCTCCAAAAAGTATGCTTCAGAAGTTTTATTAATTTCTCTCCTAGTACTAAAAGTTGTGCTTCTCTAAAATATAATTTCTTATGTCGTTTTTGTAGTCTTATAGCTACGTATAACAGTCAAATAGATTGACCTATCCTTATGTCTACCCACCAAAAGCCACTCTCTTGTGGATAAAATAGACATTTATGTACCGAGAGCGTAAACTGCCCGATTATTGCCCCAGGTGTGTGTCACCGCAGATTTTAACTCGCCAATGACGTAAACACTTATTACGCCCGAGATAGATGCAAACTTTTATCTACAGCTGGCTAAAATGATGAAAAAATTCTTTCATTAGCTTTTAATAAGAAAAACAACTAAAATATATTTTTTCCATTGGAAGTAAACGATTTCATACTCCTTAGCTAAACGGTGATTAATCTCCGTCTCAAGTTTTCAAATGAAACAGTTACACTCTTTTACTTCGCCGCCACTACACTGACAAGTAAGGATTCTAGTTGCGAAAAATTTCGATAATGAGGTAATAAGTTTTTTTTCATTCAATATGACATAAATATCACGAAAAACCTGCCGCTCATTTCCGTCGGTCTGGCTATTGGTCTGTCCGCTGATACTTGGCCCCTTTATCTGAGAGACTTATAGAAGAAGGTAGCAGATGATGCGATATGCACATACGAGGTGCACGTGATATTGTCTATATATATATACAGGGTGGCCCATCCATGCATGGCTGGAATGTCACTCATAAACAAATACATTTTAGGAAAATCTATTTATGGCATGTTATACATGACCTTTGAGGACACATTCCCAAAAAAAATTTCAATTATACAGGGTGTCCCAATTTTGACCTACATATCAAAGTTGCGATTTTTCAAATGGAATGCCTCAAATTTTATTGCATATTTGGATAAATCAATCTAAAAGAAGAAGATTGATATAACATACTATGGGGTTTTGGTAATTAGCTACTGAGATGTAAGGTGTTTTGTCCAGAAAAACCGTCCATTTCGGCAACCGCTCAATCAGCCACTTTGAAATTTGAAGTGCTGAATTTTGCATCAAAAAACTTACACACCTCAGCTTTTATCTTATTTGTTACTTTTTCGAATTTTCATTTTTGCTTATAGAGGGTGGTCAAAAACGCGAATTCTACTTGTTCTAAAAAAATTCAAATGTATATTTGTGCAAGTTTTGATTCAATTTTTTATAAGCCTTTTTTTCGGTATAATGGTGAAGCTAGATAAAATCACTAGATTTTGAGTTATTAAGTTTTTAATAGAAGAACACACCAAAATTAAGGGAAAAAATTACATCATCTATCGAAACAAAAGACAAACAATGGGCTAGTTCCACATTACCACTAAGAGTAGAGATTTGACGTAAAAACTAATAACAATCAGAAAAGCTTCAAGCGTAATAGAGGAAAACAACTATAACAACAACAGAAGCAAACAACTATCACTACTCAAGACTTAATCTACAAAAACTGCTCGAAAATATCTCCACCATGTTGAATACACAGCCGTAGTCTTTGGATAAATGACCGTTGCACATCCCTCAGCACGTGTTCAATTATGTTCAGAAAAGCATCCTTAATCCTTTCCTTCATATTTTCCGGGGTAGATGGTGGATATCTTTAAACCTCTTGCTTAACGTAGCCCCATAGAAAGAAGTCCATCGGTGTCATAACTGGTGATCTAGGAGGCCAAGATATAGGCCCATCATATAAGGATGCTTTCATTAGGGAACACATGCATTTATCCAAAGACTACAGCTGTGTATGGTGGAGATATTTTCGAGCAGTTTTTGTAGATTAGGTCTTGAGTAGTGATAGTTGCTTGTTTTTCTTGTTGTTATAGTTGTTTTTGTCTATTACGCTTGAAGCTGATTTATACTGGTCTGATTGTTATTAGTTTTTACGTCAAATCTGTACTCTTAGTGGCAATATGGAACTAGCCCTCTGTTTGTCTTTTGTTTCCATGGATGATGTGATTTTTTTCCTTAATTTTGGTGTGTTGTGTTCTATTAAAAGCTTAATAACTCAAAATATGGTGATTTTATTCTGAATGAAACCTCATACAAAAAAAGCTTATAAAAAAGTGAATCCGAACTAGCAGAAATATACAGGGTGATGCATTTGAATTTTTTGAGAAAAAGTACAATTCGCGTTTTTGACCAAATTTTGAAAATTCGAAAAAATAACAAATAAGATAAAAGCTGAGGTGTGTAATTTTTTGATACAAATATAGCACTCCAAATTTCAAAATGGCGGATTGAGGGGTTGCCGAAGTGGACGATTTTTCTGGACAAAACACCTTACATTTCAGTAGCTAATTACCAAAACCCCATAGTATGTTATATCAATCTTCTTCTTTTGAATTGGTTCATAAAATATGCAATAAAATTTGAGGCATTCCATTTAAAAAATCCCAACTTTGATATGTTGGTCAAAATTGGGACAGCCTGTATAATTGCCATTATTTTAGAAATGTGCCCTAAAATGTCATAAATAGATTTTCCAAAAATGTATTTGTTTATGAGAAATATTCCGTCCAGAAATAAGGTTACTGTGTACGATCACACTCATTGTTGCTTTCTGATGAATTTTTTTGTCATGAAAAGCCCAAATAGTGCACTAATGGTTCTGACAAAACCTACATATTTTTTATATCATTGCATTATATGGTCAAATTATACTAAAACCTGTTCCGAAGGTATGGAGAATATAAAGTCAATCTGCTTGACGCCATTTTTGCACTGATACACATTCTTCTCCACGGTCTTATGTTCAAGGAGCAAGGATGCTCATAGTCGTCGAATAATAAAGATTCCAGTATGCAAAAGTTGACTTACTATACATGCTGCATATTTAAAGTTCATTAAATTTGTCCAAAATTGTGTGAGAAGTACAGAATCACTCTGCTTGACGCCAGTTTTAGTCTTGCTGTTAAAATGTAACACGCTTTTATTCGAAAACTTGAGACAAAGGGGCTTAAATATCGTTTACTCTTAATAATTATAGAATGGCTTACTTCTTATTAACAGCTAATAAAAACAAACTCTGATTTTTCTTCTATCTATCTTCTATCTTCTATTTATCCGCTCCTAGATCAAATTTCCTAAGTTTCCTAAATATACTAAGTGACATATAAATCCGAACACCCAGTTTAAATAGTTTTATTTTAATAAAATTTTGTATAAGTACTTAATGAAGCATAATAAGTAAATGATAAAAATTTCAAAATGATTGCATTGCTTTAAAGCCCTTTGACCTTTAATAATGTGTGGATGCACCCTGATGTGCTACGCATTCTCTAACGCGCCTAGGCATGCTTCTGATCGGGTGGTCAATGTCCTCCTGTGGTATCTCATTCCAGGCAACCACCAACTCCTCTCGAAGTGCTTCTAGAGTCTGAGGAGGACGTTGCAAATTGAGCAATCTCCTACCCATCATATCCCACACGTGCTCAACTGGGGATAAGTCGGGAGATCTTGGTGGCCATGGTAACAATGTGACATCATTATGTTGAAAGAAGTCTATTGTGACTCTCAACATGTGGTCGGGCATTATCTTGTTGGAAAGTTGGATCTGCCAGGGTGTCAAGATAGGGTAAAAGATGGGGTTCTAGAATTTCGTGGATATAACGCTGCGCGTTCATGTTACCTCTGATGAAGATTAAAGGTGACCTGGAACCATAAGCTATAGCACCCCAAACCATAACTCCAACAGTGTGATGAACATGTCTTTCAACAAAAAACTGTGGATTCCTCCTTTCACAACGTCGCCTTCTAACCCTGGCACGACCATCGTGCATGCCTAAACAAAATCGAGACTCGTCACTAAAGACAATACTGTTCCATTCCTGATCCATGAGTGACCGTCGTCTGCACCACTCAAGGCGATTACGTCGGTGTTCTCGAGTTAAAGGGAGGACCCAGTGTGGCCGGTATGAAAACAAGCCAAAACTTCTCATTCGTCGGTAAACACTTCGCATGTCAATAGGTCTTCCGTGTTCTGCAAACCATTCATTTGCAATGGACCTGGTAGTGGAGAAACGGTCCCTTAAGGCCAATAATCTTAGGCGTGCCCCTTGCTCTTTGCGTACGGCCTTCTCGAAGCCATGCCTGACAACACCTAACCACAGTGTCTACACTTATTTGCACTCTAACTGCAATTGCCCGAAAAGAAAGTCCAGCTTCCCGAAGTCCCACTATACGGCCCCTATCAAACTCACTAAGTTGACGAAATCGTACAGGTTTCCGTACCCTAGGCATCGTAACCGATCGTAAAGGACGTCAAGAACCAAAATCCGCCAACGTTGATTCTTTACTGCGGCTGAAATATTCATTTTAGAGCGTTAGTGAATTAAAAAAAGCCGTATAAAAACCAGAATTTCCAACTGATAAGGCTGAAAATTTTTTCACTTGTTATTTACAGTAAGATAAATACATTCACTAAATTTTATTAAAATAAAACCATTTAAACTGGGTGTTCGGATTTATATGTCACTTAGTATATTTATCCGCTCCTAGATGAAATTTCCTAAGTTTCCTAAATAATTATAAACTCTCATGAATCACTTATAACCTCAACAATAATGTTGACCCAGCACTTTTGCCTTAGTAGTTAATGGTTTTCAAATCTTGACGAAAGCGTTGATGTCCATCTCTAAACAAAGCGGCACATAATAGATATACAGCTATAAAATAAATGATGAAAATATTTCATATTACTTACTCTTAGGTAGCTATGAACCCCAGCAACACCGTATTTGACGCAAAAAGACTTATTGGACGCAAATTCGACGACCCAAAAATTCAACAAGATCTAAAACATTGGCCTTTCAAGGTGAGTTAACTGGTCTGAGGTACCTCGCACATTATTTTTTTTGAATCATCTGTAGAAAGAAGACTGATGTTTGTTAAAACTAGGTGATAAACGATAACGGCAAACCCAAAATTCAAGTGGAATTCAAAAGCGAGAAGAAGAGATTCGCCCCGGAGGAAATAAGTTCGATGGTACTGACCAAAATGAAGGAAACTGCAAGCGCATTTTTAGGGAATGACGTCAGAGATGCCGTCATCACCGTCCCTGCTTATTTCAATGATTCGCAAAGACAAGCCACTAAAGATGCTGGAACAATAGCCGGTAAGTCCATGACAAGATAGAAGAAATGCTAATTTAAGTTTTACCCAGCGGCCAAATAGGTGAAAACAGAAACCGGTTTCGGCAGAAAATGTCAAAGAAAAAAAAAAGTAAAGAAAAGAAGAAAGGAGAACGAAGAAAAGAACCGGAACTACTCAAGTCGAAATTTCTTAACATTGCGTTATTGCTTATCGTTGTTATTAAAAATTAATTTTGACTCAGGTAAAACGTACGAGCCCCTTCCCACTTCAGTTGGTCCACTTCAAGATTTATACCAAAATATGCCTTTATAAACTAAACATGACGAAACTATTTACTTCTAAAACAATTTATTTTCTCAAAAACACTTTAGATACATTCTTGTCGTAAAAAATACATATTTGAAATCACTTATAACCTTTCCTCTACCCATTTTGAAAACCTTAACTACCCAAAACTATTTTAAACGTATTCTGACAGCTGTGATTAATAAAAACAATTGTCATTGCTTTTATTTTTCACAGCCACCTATGCGTTATAGACTTATTTTGCATTGAAATGAAAATAGGTTGATGTGCTGTAATTGCAACATGTGTTATTTTTATGCTGCAAATTTGATTAGGGAGTTATAAAGTTGGAAAAACTAAGATTTCAATAGTTGGGCCAACTGAAGTGGGAAGGGGCTCGTACATTTGCACTGACATTTCGCGCTAAAAGTGCCAGTTAAGTTCATTACACCAATGTGTATCGACGGGACATGTGCTAAATTTGGAGCATATGTTCTAATTATATTTTGGTCTGGCAATGATCATGAGAATCAAAGGAAGGTCATACGTGAACAAAAGCCTCTCTAAAATCGAGTTCCATAGATCATCCCCCTAATAGTATTAAACGCCACAGAATACTAACGCTGTATCTGCTTTGGTAGCTTTCTTGTATAATGTCCAAACCATAAAAATTGAAGTTTCAAAATTGACGTTGACGCCTTTGAAACTGTCAATATTTTGTATTAAAACGAATGTAATTGTTTTGGATATTTATGAAGCATTTGTCGAATTACAGTACAGTACGTTAATAAAACATTCGTTATTGAATACTAGAAACAAAGAATGAGAAAACGTGTTTTTTTTGATTTATCGAAAGTGTTGGCTGGAACGAAAAAACCCTTCAAATAAGATTATTAGGCATTTATGAGACCTACAGAATGAGACCATATGTAAAAAGATCCCACTAATAGCGAAAAAAGTTATAAATTCAGGTCTTGGCACTTATTGTTAATGCGACGAGAATTCCACGCAGCTTCTTGAAATTCTTCATATCCGAAGGCTTCTTACTTTTAAATAACCATAATAAATTTGGAGTCGATTCGTCAAGTGGTTTTTGAGAATTTCTAATTGTTTATCCCAAAACACCTGTCTTCTGGCCATCACTACTAGTTTATTGAGCAAAAACAGGATTCGATCAAAGGACATTTTATAGCAAAATACACAAGTTTATCTTGCCCATATGAATCACAAGCCATTCCCAAAAATAATTTTGATTTTTATGCGAAAAACGAAGGGTTACGTTTTTTTCTTCTAAACAAATCCAAACATTTCGTATTTGTAAATAATTGTTACAGATTTTAAACAAAGCATATGCGTCTATCACCTTTTGTTGGGAAGAAAATTCTCTTCTAGATTTCTTCGTACTCTTGTGTATACAGGGTGGCGCATCGAAAATGAAACAGACGCATTTAATGGCGGCTCGGTTTTTTTTTGAAAAACACTCAGACCCGTCGATTTTGTTTTCGAGGGGGACACAAGTTTGGCAAAAAATCACGTTAATACGTGCAGCCCCCTGGGCGGGGGTGACACCAACCCTAAAATCTTAAATGGAAAGGGGGGTCGAGTGATACCTTATTTTAAAGGTCTTTCAATTCCCTTATAATGATATAAAATTAATGTAGTAGTAGTAGTTTTGAAGATTTATTGATTTAAAGTTTAAAGTAGACTTTAATAGGTGCATCAGATTAGTTTGTACTACTTTCAGAAGAAATTTGACTAAAAGAATTTACTTAATAAGTAAATGCTTTTCTTCACTACGCCCATGGTTTGTTTATCATTTTGTTGTTGAAAATAGCTATTGGAGCGTTTTTTTTGTGGCAAAAAAGTTCATTCTTCATGTTTAAATTACTTTGCTGCCCAATGTATTGATCTCCACTAATGATGATGTATTAGTTTTATTTAAGCTTTAAATCAATAAATCTTCAAAACTACTGAACTGAAGTACGTTAGTTTTATATCATTATAAAGGGAATTGAAAGACCTTTAAAACTCGACCCCCCTTTCCATTTAAGATGTTGGGGGTGGTGTCAGCCCCGCTTAGGGGGCTGCACGTGCTAACGTGATGTTTTGCCAAACTTGTGTCCCCCTCGAAAACAAAATCGACGGGTCTGAGCGTTTTTCAAAAAAAAAAGACTGAGCTGTCAGTAAATGCGTCTGTTTCGTTTTCGATGCGCCACCCTTTGTATATGTAGTACTGAAATTTTTACACGGTGTCAGATGAGCCTTAATGTTTATAAAAAAAATATTTCATACCGAAATGTGCGGAACTGTTTATAGAGTTAGCACGCAAACTGAACACACAATTATGTTTCAAACTGTTTTAGACTAGTTAGTATGTAGCATTATTGATGACTGCGTGACTTTGTCAAATAAGTAGGTCACGTAATCCAGTTTCTTTACAAGCAAATGTAATTCCCTGGACGTTTTTTCTAAAAGTATTAATCTAGTATAAGTCTGTTTTCGAAATCTCGTACGATTCAAACGACTGCGGGTTCAAAATGTTGGAAAATAAACTCGACAAAGCAAAAAAAACAGTAGACAAATATCAACCAATTGTAGCGAACTGACCATCTGAAAAATTAGGCAAAATGCTAAATTTACTTATTGGTAAAATGTCCCTATTCACCTTTAGCTTGTTTAATGCACTACGAGTTAATTACCTCAAGTTAGTGGTTAAACACACTGCTCAGATAACAATACGAAAAAATAAGCAGCATTTGGTTGCTATGGGTAATAAATACAAAATGACAATGAACAACTTGCATCAATAAAACCAGACTTTACAATTATTTCGGGGAAATTTGCTAATATGATTAGACTAAATGCGGTAAGTCTACATGAAGTCTTCAGACAATGAAGCATATACTAGTAAGAATATTTTAAATTCTAGATTTGTGCTGGATAAATAGTGAATAGGTGTATATGCTTATCCTCGAGTATGAAAAATGCTACAGGATTTGTTTGATAATGTTGGTAAATTGCCCAAAACTAGAATTTGGAATATATTGGGACTTTGCATGCAGCTGTGGTGCAGTTTATACTTAGTATCGATCTAAAATAAATAGAACAACGATTTACTGGCTTGGCTGTACTGAATTGGGTTTTATTTTCTTTACTCTTTGTACTACGATCAAAATAATACGGGTCAACTAGAGTAAGATTTTAAAGATAACAGAATATGAGTTATACGAGTACTATAAGACTCTTTACGATGAGGCCTGAAGACATTTTTAATGTTTTTTGTGTTTAATTAATTAATTGGCTACATTGAGGCATTGATTAACGCATTCTGTCTGAAGATACCGAATTAAAATACGAATTAGAGAGGCGCCATAACAGGATTGAAGACACTAACGGCATCTATACGAGAGTAGCAGAACTTAACACTAACTCCTTTGAAAGTAGATTTCTAAATCCATTTTTGTGTTCTGCTATTCTCCGATAGGTGTCGCGAGTACCTTTCAGATCCCGTTTTGGACGCCGGAATACAGTATATGGCTGGCCATCCTCAAGTAAAATAAGTTAATCAGTGGTTTAGAAGATTAAAATATTAATTTTTCAGCTACTAACGGGTGATTCTTTTAGAGGTTGGTATAGGATTTGATATTCAAAAAAGACACAAAAAATTTGAAAAAACGATTAAATCTTTATTTGAGTCGATAGAACGGTCGATATAATTAAATGTTTAAAGATTATTTCATGTAAATGTTGGCCGCGGCTCCGCTTTAGATGGCCCATGCGCAAGGACCAATTTTGGCACACTCTCTCCAACATATCGGCCGGTATCTCACGAATAAATGCTTCAATATTGGCTTCCAGTGCGTCAATCGTTGCTGGTTTATCCCTGTAGACATTCGCCTTAACATGGCCCCACAAGAAATAGTCCAACGGCGTTAAATCACACGATCTAGGCGTCCAATTGACGGGCCCCAAACATGAGATAAACTGTTCACCGAACTCGCCTCTCAATAGGGCCATTGTTTCGTGTGCGGTGTGGCATGTGGCACCGTCTTGTTGAAACCACATGTCAGCCAAGTCCAGCTCTTCCATTTTGGGCAAAAAAAAGTTTGTTATCATCGCACGGTAGCGCTCGCCATTCACAGTTACGTTCCGGCCATTGTCGTCTTTGAAGAAGTACGGCCCGATGATGCCACCGGCCCATAATCCACACCAAATAGTGATTTTTTCGGGATGCATTGGTAGCTCTTGCAATGCTTCTGGCTGGCCTTCACTCCAGATGTGGCAATTTTGCTTGTTAACGTACCCATTCAACCAGAAATGAGCTTCGTCGCTGAACACAATTTTTCGATAAAAATGTGGATCTTCCTCTAACTTTGCCAGCGCCCATTCACCAAATTGGAAACGTTGTGGGAGGTCGTGTGGCTTCAATTCTTGCACCAGCTGTATCTTATAAGGTTTTACACCCAAATCATGTCGCAAAATTTTCCACGTAGTGGAGTAACAATGGCCCAATTGCTGCGAACGGCGGCGAATCGACATTTCACGGTCATCACTAACACTGGCGGATACAGCCGCAATATTTACTTCAGTCCTCACTCTACGTCTGCGTGTTGGTGGTTTAATGTCCAATAATGTAAACTGGGTTCGAAATTTAGTTCACAAGCTTCCGAATAGCTCCCTCAGTAGGCCGACCAAATTGCCCATAAATTGGAGGCAGTGCTCGATGCACTCTCTTAA